AGTTAATGAAAACATTAACTCTTAAGATGTCACCTAAACAAGGCAGGTTTATCTAAATTTAATTTGGCTCCTCAAACAAAGTTGACTAAACCTCTGTACCTATGTTAATCGAACTTGCAAAATAGAGTTGACAATTTAACAATCCAAGTTTATTGAAACTTTGTACCTAAGTTAATCTAACTTGTATTACAGTGTTGCCTTAACTCTGAAGTCAAAGTTAGCTGAACCTCTGTCTATAGGTTTGCTAAACTTTTGTAATTGAGTTGGCTAGCTTAACTCAAAAATGTATCGCAGCATGTTGCCTTGAATTTTTGAGTTGGCTGAACATTTTTTTTTTACAGTGTATAGTCTCCCCTACATTGACTAATTGCATATTTTATTTCCCCTACTTCTCCTGGGGGGTGCTGCCTGGAGCCCTCAATCTATCAAGATGTCCAGCACACCCTGCTACATGTGACGTCGCCTCTACCAATGACGTCTGTGCATCCACCTTGCCGTTCTGCCTGTGTCATCCTTCCTTGTATGACCCGCTCCCTGCCTTCTGGTTGCCTGGCGATTGGAGGGAGCGTTGGCACCGGCTTGCCATCTCCCCCTTGCTCCCCGTTTGTGTCTCAAAATTTACTGTATTTGGCTCCCCCTTTGAGTCTGGTCCCTCCCAAGGTTTCTTCCTTCTCAGGAGTTTTTCCTTGCCACTGTCGCCTATGGCTTACTCACTGGGGGCTTTGGGTGGGGATGCTGTAAAGCGCTTTGAGACGATGTAATGTTGTGATAATGCGCTATGCAAAAATATTTTTTTTGTTGTTGTTGTTCTTCTAAAGCGTGCATGTACTGAATGAAAAAGACCAGCTAAAAATGTTATTGCTAGCCAGCTCCCTATAAGACTCAACAAAACCCTGACATTGTCAGCAGCATTAAGCGCAAATATACACGATCCTGGCTAAAAGTGTCTTGGGGATAGATAGCCGCACCTTAAGAATGTCAGAACCCCCACCGTTCGTAGCGTTACATCAGCTAGCAGCTCGCGCACTTTGTCGCGCCGCACCACGGACTCCCTTGTGCTCAGTGCCATTGTGTCCGACATATTATAAATGAATGAATGCCTTTTTATTGTCACTATACACATGTACAATGAGAATAAAAGCAGCTCCTCCAGTGTAAACATGTGTGTAGAACACACAACAAACAATAAACAAATAGTGCAAAAAGTGCAAAACATTCTGCGGTGCTATATACATATGGAAGGAATAAATAACTATATAGGTTACTACCGCCTCCATTTCCCTTGCTTATACCGATGGTAAGCAGGAAGTTAATCTCGGGTAAGTAATTGTAAATTTGTTTATTTTAAAAGTTTAATTTAAAGGTTGTTATCGCTGACGCTGCCGGATAATTTATAATAAAGTTCCGATTTAACGCAAGTGTTAATTTAGTGTTTTAGTGTACGCGGCACTTTGTTTTAACTATACGTTAATTAGATCAACTAAAAGTTTAAATATTCTCTATTAATATACTGGGCTGGGAGTAAAGGACGGGGACATAGTGAGTTAGGTAATTATGGGGCCAGCTCAGTGTTGTGTTTGCAAGATGTTTGCCCTTCTGGATGCTTGCGTCCAGTCGGACTGCGAGCGAT